ATAAATAAAGTTAGTTTAGTTTAGGTTTCCTCCTGTAGTAACACTGGATCAATAAGAGATGATCTTTACTGGACCTCTAGGAAGAACAGTTTAGAACTGATAGAGCTATCCAGTATAAATAAAGTTAGTTTAGTTTAGGTTTCCTCCTTGAGTAACACTGGATCAATAAGAGATGATTCTTACTGGACCTCTAGGGAGAACAGTTTAGAACTGATAGAATTATCCAGCACAAATAAAGTTAGTTTAGTTTAGGTTTTCTGTTCATATTCACCTTCAATGAATGAGTAACTGAAAATGAAACTAGAATAAAGCGGACGTTGTTTTCTTAAATAGTTATGATCTTGACGACCAAACGTGGCATATTGTTGAAGTTTCTGAAGATAGTCAGGTAATTATATTATGATCTATTGTGCCCTAGTATAATTTGAGTATTGAAAAGTGGCCTTTGAGCATTCTGATTGGCTACCCTCAGCAGTTTACTCTTGAGACAATAGTTACTCCACTGAGCAGTAACTTTTCCTAAAAAAATAGATGAAAATCAGACGGAAGTAAATTATTTATGCACATTAATTTATATTCATAAAATAAACACGTGCATTAGTTGTATTTATTGTATAAAACTTTTTCAATACTGAAATTATACTAAAACAATTAGTCGCCTTCGGCTCGGTGAATATGGGCTTGTATTCACCTTTCTGCAATCTGATTGGTTAACTGTAGTGCAATTTTTCATTAATGATTTGACGGACAAAATGGCGGTTCGTTTTGTAGACACAATTAACGAGGCTACAATTCACTTACTTTAAACAAAAGTAAAAAATGAAAGTACACAAAAAAGCACTGTCCTAAAACTCGCTTGCTGAACTTTCAGTATTTTGGCATGAACGATTGTTTGTGGACGAATCAGTAACTTGCGATTCGCTTTATATGTCTGCTTCGCTTGGATATTGGATAACTAGTTTAACTTCTCATCAATCTTAAACCATTTACTGTCAAGGAAGACGCTTATAGTTTTTTCTTGTACATAGTTTAGATGTGTAAATGAACCAGATCTTGTTCATTTCAGCCGTGTTCTAATACCTAGTCATTTCCTGTTCCATGTTTGAAATTACTGGGTCTTGCAGGCTATAGAAAGTTTTTAATCGCTTTTTGCGTCTCCATTATTCAAGATAGCATTCAAACACGACTTTTTACCAAAAATTCACTGAATTTTTAAAACCTCCAAAAGTTTTACTGAAAAAATCTGGTTACTAAAATTTTTCCAAAAGTGGCGAAATTTTACCGATAGTAAAATACTTTACCAAATCTGGAAACAATGTTAAAATATTTTTCTCTATTTTCAGGTTCCTCATGGCAGGCTGTTCCATGCTGCTGACGTCATTGATGACGCAATGTATATTTTTGGCGGGACTCTGGACAACAACATCCGAAATGGGGAAATGTATCGATTTCAAGTAAGGCTATTTTTAGAGGGAGGGGTGAATACAAATTAAGTTTGTGTCCGTTTAGAACTGATAGAGCCATCCAGTGCCTGTAGTAACACTGGATCAATAAGAGATGATCCTTGCTGGACCTCTAGGAAGAACAGTTTAGAACTGATAGAGCTATCCAGTATAAATAAAGTTAGTTTAGTAAAAGGTTTCCTCCTGTAGTAACACTGGATTAATAAGAGATGATCCTTACTGGACCTCTATAGGGAGAACAGTTTAGAACTGATAGATCTATCCAGTATAAATAAAGTTAGTTTAGTTTAGGTTTCCTCTTGTAGTAACACTGGATCAACAAGAGATGATCCTTGCTGGACCTCTAGGGAGAACAGTTTCGAACTGATAGAGCTATCCAGTATAAATAAAGTTAGTTTAGTTTAGGTTTCCTCTTGTAGTAACACTGGATTAATAAGAGATGATCCTTACTGGACCTTTAGGGAGAACAGTTTAGAACTGATAGAGCTATCCAGTATAAATAAAGTTAGTTTAGTTTAGGTTTCCTCTTGTAGTAACACTGGATTAATAAGAGATGATCCTTACTGGACCTCTAGGGAGAACAGTTTGGAACTGATAGAGTTATCCAGTATAAATAAAGTTAGTTTAGTTTAGGTTTCCTACTGTAGTAACACTGGATCAATAAGAGATGATCCTTACTGGACCTCTAGGGAGAACAGTTTAGAACTGATAGAGCTATCCAGTATAAATAAAGTTAGTTTAATGATGTATATTTTTATAGTTCTCTAGTTACCCAAGATGTACTTTGCGAGATGATTTTGGAAGATTACTTGATAGCAAACAATTTTGTGACCTCACATTTATCGTTGGAAAGGTAATAAAGCTTTCATAAGGAAAATTTCATCCCACTTGACGGAGATTCCACCTAGAGCAATGTTAGGATTAGCATTTCGATTAAGGGTATTGTAATTGTAGACCCATTACAAGCCAATACCTCTGTGTCAATACTTTATTGCATACAATTGCTTTTCAACGACAATGGATTATTGATTACAACGTGCGGAACGGCTGAATATTATTATTTCGTATTATTATACAGGAAGATACTGAGATAGATGCTCACACAACCGTCGTGGCATGTCGTTCAAGCTGGCTCAAAAAGAAAATCGAGCAAGTTAAAAAGGTATCAACTTTTATTAAAATAATGTACATGCATGAGATGGTCAAAAGTCTTCTGTGTAATCCAGTTAAATGTTCCGTATGAAATTTGGGTCGCCTTAATTCAAACTCTGTTTCAACACAATCGAAGTCAAGTTTAAATCCAATTCAGTGAAAATCCAATCTACAAGTAGTGTTCAATGCAGTTAGTGAAAATCTCGTCTAAATCTAATCTAAATTTAATCAAAATCCAATCAAAACCAACTCAAATATCCTCTAAATCCAATCCAAATCTCGTCTAAATTTAATCCAAATCTCGTCTAAATCTAATGCAGTTAAAATCCAACCGAAATCTGCTCTAAAATCCAATCAACATCTCATCTAAATTCAATCAAACTCTAGTCTTTATCCTGTCCGAATACAGTCTAAATCTAATGTAGTTAAAATCTAAATCTGATGAAAATCTTGTTTAATCCATTTCAGTCTAATCATATTCAAGTGCAATTTAGCCCAGCCCAAAACCACCATGTATTTACCATGTACTTGTCCTTTGAATATAGCTCGAGACTAATTCGTCGGACACGTCAAGTGAAAAACTTAAGATAACCATCGATGATGTCCAGCCTGAAGCTTTCTTGATTGCCTTGAGGTTCATGTACACCGATTCCATATACGCCCTTGTCAAAGGTATAGTTTCAGTTTAAGCACAGTTACTGTCGTTCCAATTGAAGTGTTCCTCAAATATTGATTCAATACATAACCTCAGGCTGACCAATTCATTTCATCAAGTTCCTCGAGATATTCATACACTTCCTGTGAAAGAGCCAATTCCAAGAATTTGATCATTTCTGGTCACTTCCTTTCTATTTATGATTGGTTAGTTGCACAAACAAC